GTTCACATGTGTGTATGAAAAGTGGCGCTATGAATCCACCTGCAAGCCAAGGGGCCGCCATCTTGGAAAAGTATGAGAACCGCTGGCCAAAAGGAATGCATCCATTGATACTAACTGATTCTAGCAGGGAAATATTATAGGACACCTTATTATGAAGGATGTCTTATTTTTGTCCATGGGGATTTTTCGCCATGAGAATAAAATAAATTCAAAAACATAGATGTGTTCACAAATTTCATCTGACGCACATCTTCCAGTTAAGATTTCGGTAGCGCGATACGCAGGCAATAAATAACTTTACATTTTTATTTGTAGTCGGATCGCCATTTTAAAGATGTTTTGAAAAACGTACGCCAGAGATTAACACGCTCACCCCAGCGTACGGTTTATACGCTTATGAATATGATAAAAACATGAATGACCTCTTATGCGGAGACATTATTTTTCGATGTTATTAAGAAATAAAAATGGAAACAAATACACATAAATAAAGAAATAGATAGGTATCAACGTTGCATAATAATAACATAAGCAATGGATAACATAGAAAAAGAAAGACAATATTTTTTTTCGTTAAAACCGAAAATTTACAGGTTTCTAGAGTTCTTTACTACTGACCTTTCTTCATTATTATTTCGTTGAATTGAAAAGATGAAATATTGAATATATCATCATTATCTCTCTCTCTCTCTACTCTCTCTCTTCTCTCTCTCTCGGCGCCTGTGTTTGTATATGTGTGTGTTCGTGTGTGCATGCTATTCATCTTTTACCGAGAACAAGCATTTTGTAAAAACACCATTGCAAAGGAATCGTTCTGTTGATTTCTTCATTCAAACCGATCATCAGAAATCGCTACTACCTCTTCATATGTAATTATGTAACATATTGTACAATATAGTATAACCCGCAAATAATACGATGGTGATAGCAAACCCAACTGATCAGCCAATTGCCAAAAAACATCCGAATTGCAAAAAACATTAATTTTCCAAACGCTAAATTGTAAATTCTGTTCTCACGTACTTGTGTAGCTTAATTAGATTGGATGAAGCACGACGGTTGCAAAGAGAAAGTCCGACAGTCCACTTCGTAGCAAAGCATAGCGAGGACACCGAGAGGACCGCTCGTGTATGAAGCGACAATTGGCGGGAAAAAAAATGTTTGGGCAGCTCGCTCACTCGTTAATGGCGGTTATTTTTTCTGGTTTTTATTTATTCATTAGATTGGTCTTATCAGGTTTATTGTAAGGTCTCTGTTCTCTTTTATTTCTCTGTCTCTCTTTCTCTCTCTCTGTCTCTGCCTGTCTGTCTCTCTCTCAATCTTGATTTCTGATGAAGACATCTTTAGCGTAAGCAGAATAGAGGTCAGGAACGAATGGCGGTCCAGCGGTCTCTAATGGCGGCCTCGACACAGCAACAATTATTTTAATGACTTGATACGTATTATGGGACATTTTTGCAGTGAAAATACAATTCACTTCTGAGGAAATTGGCAATACAATTATTTCCTAAATTCGCGAGTAATAGACAATAAATATTTTATCTTCGCGGTCTCTTAATTGACTCAACTCAATGACTTGATACGTATTATGGAACATTTCTGCAGTAAAACATACAATTTTCTTCCGAGAAAGTTGGAGGCAATGCATTTAATTCCTAAATTTTGGAGTAACTGTCTCTTAACTGATCAACTTAACCAAACTGGGAAATTTTGACGTTAAAGCTTTACGAAAATATTTTGCTGTTTCGATACCTGCAAGATTTCTTCTTTCTTGAAGTCGAGGAGTAATTGGTAAACAATAAACAATTACAGAATTTGTTAGGTATAGATGCTTAAAATGAATCTGATGATGCTCGCGAAGAGTAAATTTTGATAACTGATTTCATAATATTCTCATGCAAAAAGACAACTGAGGGTATGTAAATAAACAGTATACATTGTTCGGGCTGATTTAGAAGTTTGTTTTCTGTTATCTAATGCGTTTCACTTTTGACGTACATTTCTTTAACACTCTTCTTCGTTTCTTTTCTTTTTATTTGTCTATCTCCTGTTTTCCTCTCATTATCTGTCTTTATTATCTCCCTGTTTCTGCTTTTTCTGTGTCTCTGCTTTTCTCTTTTTGTCAGTTACTCTGTTTTTTTTGTCAGTCTGTTTTTCTCTTTTTGTTAGTCTTTCCATCTCTGTCTCTATCCCCCTCCCTCTCTCTCTCTTATATATCTACGTACATTTATGAGCTTCATATGTATAAAAATATATATACATGTAATATATACAGTTATGATAGATTCCTCTTTATATCCCATTCATTCTTGAAAACAAACGGCGTATGTGAAAAACCTTCTCTTCCAACGGTATTCCCAAACTGAATTTTTTCAACTTTGCAAACTCGACCTTTTGAAGAGAAAGGAGGAATTCATAAGCATAACCCTTGCATGTTCCACCTGTTGGGTTTATGGTTCAGGAATACAAATTCAGTCCTCTTTGTTTGCAAATGAAATAA